GCAATTTATATTTCTATATTTTATCCATCGTTTTCAGATGTTATGTATTTCTAACTATTGCTCACAATTTGACAATTTAGTGGGAAAAGAAATAAGGTTTTATCACCATGAAATCCTTCTTTGTTGTCAATTATATACATTACATGAACTCCACTCCCACCACTACATGAAAAACCTTTTTAAAATAGATTGGGTTAATACGTTTAACGGACATTTAATTAAAATCTCTCAGGAAGAGAAAATGTCAGCAGACAGTCGTCAGCTTCTTCTCAAATATTTCTCTTCTCCGGATACTTCTAAACTAAGACTGTATTGACTTATAGACGTGACTAATTTTTTAGGAAGCCCTGTGTAATTATGTTTTATTTTCTGAATTTTCCGCTCTCTCAGTGACATACATGCACACATTGTTCTGATGGCACAATGAGTAAGACTGTTGTCACAGTCAGTGACCCTGAAATGGCTCTTTTAGTGTGTGCTGTTTTCAGATGCCTTGTTCCACCGACCAGACTCGCATGATATTTGTGAATGTGGGGGTTAAAAGAAAACACAAGGACATGGAAGAGACATGAGCCCACATCCTCGCTGCACTGGCAACATTAAACTTTAGCCTCTCCAGTTTGACTTTTGCCTGTGGCAAAGTAACTTGATTGAGGCCTTTGATGGGCATTAATACACCGTGGAGAGACATCTTTGTTTGGGAATGGAAATGAACATAAAACGGAAAGCGGAACAGGAAGGAGAGAGGCCCACAAGACGATCTTATTTAATTTCACATAAAAGAGACATTCCATCTCACTGGGTCTGTTTGGGCATCTCAGCGTACTTCATTCTTTACATACTGGGGATCATACGCTGTGCGTGTGTGTGCGCACAGAGGAGAGGTTTGTCGAGCATTGAGGAAACCAAAACAACCCAACCAGGGTCCTTTTGAACACATCGAATGTGGCAGCAGTCTGAAATCACATTTCAGTGGCACAGCTCAAATCATCATCATCAATGTTCTGAGCCACTACCTGGTCCCGCTCACAGGAAAAACATCTGCAATTAGTTCTGCCCACATTCTGTCTTTTACTGTGAAAAATATGAGGTAACCTCTGCTCATGTGTTCCATGTAAATATCTGCAGTGTATCTGCCTGAATCAAAGATTACGCTCGTGTCAGAGCCTATAACAGGGTTTTCAGTGGGGGACAACAGTCCTGCAGCAGCAGTCATCGTGGACTCTTTGATGATCACTTGACTCAACCCAGGTCGTGTATTTTTAACTTTGGTAATTATAACATTTCTTCTGTAATTTAACATCTATTATATTTGTTTTTACATTTGTCCATTTCTAACATTCACCAATTTGTATTAGGTTTTTATTAATCTTATGCTTACACATACAACTTTTATTTATTGCTTCACTTCTGCCTGCTCTGTTATTGTATTTATCAAAACCAATATTTTTCAAATGATCTGACTTTACCTAATCCAGTAAATTAGAACAGTGGATCAGCGGGTGAAGTTTTGAAAGAGTCAGCTGAGTCGGTGGAACAGATTTGAGGATTACGAGTGAAGACTTCTGAATCTCAGATTTAATGATACACTCAAACAAACAAGACATGGACCTCAATATGTTTCACAGACGTCCTCATGTGTTAAATTAGAAGAAAAAGAAATATCACAATGCTTATAGTGCTGAGTTCATTTCAGTGCAGATGGTAAATGTACTTTTACTTTAAAATGTAGGAAATAGAATC